TTTCGTTCGCAAATTCCAGGTGAGGGAAGGCCGTCAAGATCATGACGGAATTCTGTCGTCGGAACTCCGTAGAGTACGGGGAATCGATGTTCGATACGCTCGTCATCACCCGGAGGTCGGCGACAAGTCAACTGCCTCGGTAACGCCATTCATTTGAGCTCTCCACAGAGCGATATCCGAGTCTCATTAATAAATTCTATCAATTTCGTAGTACATTGTGGGCAATGGTGATTTTAGAGCGAATTGTTCAAAGCTCGCTTAAAGCCGAGTCGAAGCGGAACCTGGAGAAACAACACTGCTAATGATGTACGATGCCTCATGTAATCCCATGTCCAGCAATAGTTTCCTTGTAGCCTTTGCGTAGAATCGAGACTGCAGGCACAAGAAGAACGTTGGGAAGTATTGCGCTAGTCGTTGGGCCAGTTCGCGCGCTAGGAATTCGGAACCGCCCTGAGTCATAGACTACATAGACTACATGGACTCTGCCAGATCAGCTCCCTGCGTTCTCTTAGTCCATGACTCTGATATGAAAATGTTATCTTCTCAAAGTATATGAGGACGGGCTCAGACACGTCAGGGACAAGCGCACGAAAAAGCTCAGGAGACAAGACCCGCGAAAAGCTCCGACCCCTGAGGGCGCGCATCCGAATTCTGGCTCCATGAGATTTGAAGCTATTTTCAGGATTAAATAATAAGTAATAAATGATTACAAATAGAAGCGTTTTTGGTCATGCAGAGCTATGCGTAATCAATTCTCATCAACTCATCACACCAATCTCGCACGTCGTACGTCATCATGGCCGAATGTACCCCGAGCGTGACAGGTCACTCGAGATCCCGCCTTTTCCTCAGCAAGCATGAGTTAGCGCCGGAGATCGCACAATTATGAAGAAATCCGGAAATTTCTGAGTCTTCGTCCAAGTGAGTGTCTTATCGCTGCCAAGAACGTGGCAAAGGAGAAGTTCGTCGAGGACTTCATTCTTTACTCGGCCTTACTACGGAGGGTCACCCGATTCCGTCGAATCCGAAGTAAGTAGGTACATATATCTAGTCATGCTAAGCCTGCAATGGACGCTGACTCAAACGGCAAAGGAGCTGTGAAGTCGGGTTATCGCATGCGGTGAGAAGGTCCCCAAGGAGCGACGCTATCGTCCATCGCAGAACACCCCTGACCGAGATTAACGAATCTACGCGGCTGGCTATCGCTCGGCGCTGTGGAGTGTGGAAGAGGGCGAACTCAGATCTCGACGAGCAAGCGACATCCGCGAAGCGTGATTGGTTGGCCGCTGACGCTTTTGGGTACGCGGGTGGGAATTCCCTGGAAAGGTTCGTGCGAAAGTTGTCTGATAGTGAGCTTGTGTACTTGCAGCATCTCGTTGTGTGGATCAAGGCAACAGATCGTAGGCGAGGTCCGCATTTTCCCGACTGCTCAGACGATGGTTCCGCGACGAGAATGCGAGCGCAGAAAATACCATCCTCCATACATCTCAAGTCAAGGATACCGTGGATTTCGCTCCATCCAATTAACTTCGGTCAATTTCGAACGTGAGCGCCTCAGAACTGCGCGATACGACTGCATGGATGAGGTAACTATTTTTGCCGGTATTGTCACGTTCCTGCAACGAGCTGTTACCGCAATGATCAATCGAGAGACAAGGAGCGCCGACTGGCGTGAGGCTCGGTGCCATCCAGAGTGCGTTTATATACGGACCACATAGCGATCGGAAAACGCGGATCGGCGCGAGATACTTGAGAAAGTTTTTGCATTTTGGATGTGGAAGGGAGCCCGATGTGTCTCCTTCCTCTGTGGATGTGGAAGGGAGCTCGATGTGTGTGCATCCTCTGTGGATGCGGAAGGGAGCTCGATGTGTCTCCTTCCTCTGTGGATGTGGAAGGGAGCCCGATGTGTCTCCTTCCTCTGTGGATGTGGAAGGGAGCCCGATGTGCCTCAATCCTCTGTGGATGTGGAAGGAAACCCGATGTGTCTCCATCCTCTGTGGATGTGGAAGGGAGCCAGAGCTTGTCATTGCTCTCGTTGAGTTTTTCGAGGTGTGATGTCACGAAGTCGAGAGTGGCCTGAAGTGTTGCAGGATCGGTCGTTTCGTCTGCGAGTAAGCTGCCCGCATACTTCGCGACCTCCTGGATTTCTGTCACGATCAAGTTTCGCATGATCAAATCGCGATCATCGGTGCTCCGTTGTGAATTCGTCGCCATTCTCACGAATTTCGCTGGGCGTCAAAATAAAACGCATTAGTGTTTGATGTATTTTTCTTTTTTTTGGAGAGAAGTCTGCTTGTTGTCGGAAGCGTTTCACCCCGGGCATCCTGGCTGCGGCGCAAAGTATAAGTTCCTGTAGATTCTTCAGAATTGTAAGCGTCTCGCGCTGTTCCTGGTGATCTGTCGGGGCTCCCAGAGCCATCTTGGCACGGAATGATGCCTTCCTCCAGGCTGTTGACGGTTCTTCGTGCTTGAGAACAGCCACACTGTCTCAAATTTTGATGTCTACATACCGCCTGTATGTCAACGGTAACTTCTCCGATTTCCAGGAGAACAATTCGCCGGCCTTCCGCACAGTGATATTGCAACCAGGAAACCCAGAAGGCGGTTGTGTTGACGTCTCGAAATTGAAGAACGCGTCGTCGAGATCTTCGCTTGACGCGGACTCCGGAGAGGAAGGCACATCTACAATATGATCCGGCGAAGCGGCATGTGTGGTAGAGGTGTGCGTGGTTTTGCTCAACTTTTCCTGTCTCGTGGTAGATGACGGCTCCGATTTGGTTGCCTTGCCGCGCTTCTTCGTCTGTGCGGTTTGACAATTTACCCCCCAGGGTGACATCCAACGAATAAGTGTTTGGAGTCGCAAGGATGTCTCCAAGCCATCTGTAGTTTGGTTTAAGAATTCTACCGCAGTAGAGAACCAATTGTTTGTGGATGCAGAAATGGTCTGGTAGAGTGTAATCAATAGGGTTTTGAGTTCCGGGTTCTTTGACCATTGGGAATAATAACCCTGTTTCAGCAAGATTGCAGTCCAGAATTTCGCTTTCTGGTGATTGTAAGAATCCTCGAGAACAGTGAGAATTATTTGAAGGAGATAATCGATCGGATAGAGAGGACTTTCGTGGTTGCTGTCGTCCAGAAGGGCCTGGTTTTTGTCTTGCAGTTGTTTCGTTACGTTCTGCAAGAGTTCCTTCACCGCCTGAATACATTCTTCTGAGCTGAACGTCCACTCTTTCTGAACTTCTTGAATCGTCTCGTCGGCCTCGTACAGTACCTTTGGAGTTGTCGCCGTCTTCGGAAGGCTTACCTCTAGGATTTGTTTTGGCGGGGACGTGGTAAGGGAACCCTGTCACGTGGTTACGCGCGCTACGCAAAGGGAGAGGGTGGTGGGAAGTGAGATACTATGAGTGCACAATGGGAAATAATGCGATGGTGGTGGCGCGCGCGGGGAAAGGCTCTGCTACGGGCTGTTGGGCGCAAGTAGCCCAAAAAGAAGTCAGTACGAGACCGAAGGAGCAGCATGGGAGTCGACATGGGAATCATGAGACTCTAGGCGGGGCGAGATGAAATTATCCAGGCGCAAGGGAGTCGGCGCTTCGGATGTCTAACACGATGAAGGGTGAGCGAGTGAGCACAAACTCCGATTTATCGACGTCGAGTCCTTGCTAGCCGACCTCCAAAAATAATGGAAATCGAGCTCCAAGCGGGATAATGGGTGTAGAAGCCCTAGCGAAGGATCACATAGAGATCAATGTTGATCGAGGTGTGGTCGCGCTCGATGGGCTGTGTTCTGATTCCCAGATTGAACTAGATGCCGAGGAAGTGGAGAAGTCCTAGGAGGGATTCGGTATTCGATCGAGAGACGGAGTGGGAGGGTGATTTGGTTTCTTGGAAAAATAATTTTAGATAGTTATAGAAATGAGTCAAAAAGTTATTTTATCAAAGAAACAAGGTCTTCCAGGCTGCGTATCTCTCTACGGATGCGATAGCCTTCCTTCACGTCCGCAGTCTGTTTAGCGCGCTGAGTCCGCGTAGTGGCGTCCTCGAATGTCTTCAGCTCATTATACATCGCAAGCTAGCTTCTTGCGATCGGCTCATCGTTGCTGATATCCCCCAAGAGCTTCCAGTCTTGATACAGCTCTTCCGCGCGGTCGCGAGCACTTGCGTTCCGAGTCTCGAGCGTCTCGAACGTCGTGATCTTATTGCTATAGAAGACATCTATTCTTCCCTGGAGGAATGGCTCAAATCTTCAAGGTCTGCAGCAAGGGTGTCAAGCACAGCGTCTTCAGCCCATCCCAGCTTTCCCAGAGTCTTCGACGATCGGAAGGTGAAGAATCATCGATGGGAGACTGCCATCCTTAGTCTCGACATCCTGGCTCGCGGTCCTCTGCCATAAGAATCACTGAGCGAGCGACTTCCAGTTTCCCCAAGTTTTCAGATCGCGGACTTGGAACTGGTAGGTTCGTCGTCCTCCCGAAATTTTCCCGCAATCCTCACGCCTAGATGTGATCATCGCGGGAGCTGGCTCGATGGTTTGTGCGCCACCGTCGGGCCGCTGATGCAGCGGGCAGACCGGCTGTCGGCCATCTTGGTTCGCGATCAAACCCTCTCAGCTCTCAAACTCTCAACACGTGCGTTTGTGTTGTGTTCTGAATCGAGCTCTACGGAAAGAGAACGGATCCTCTATTCTAATTCAATCTCGTGCCGATCACTCCATCCGGAGTCAGGATGGGGAAGTGGAAGCTTCTGAAACGAAAGATGGAGAAGGGACAGGAATCCTCGTCAGGCTCATCAGATTCGGAAACCGAAGTTCCACAGACGAGAAATTCCGACGATGTGCCGAAAACTAGGAATCGATGGACCAACAGACAGGTATTCGAAACGTTATCTCGGATAGACTCCAGGCATAGCGGAAAAGAGACTGCGATGGTTATTGCGCCCTGCCTTAACCGTTGATTTTTACTCGCAGCGATTGCTGATTTTCGCATCTCGGGGCATTACATATCGGGACCGGCACCTGATGAACTCGTTCAAGGGCATGCTAGCGCATTCGAAACAAGAGTGTAAATTCGAGAAGAAGGACAATCTAGCTGTGATCAACGAAATTGCAGAAATGAAAAACTGTAACAGAGTGAGTACCGGGACGGCTGCGCGGGCGGAATGTTGACCTCAGTAATTTCCGGACCTCTTTCGAAGGAACATCTTTGCCGCGTTCTTATTGCTAAGACAACTTGAATAATCAATCCCGCAGGTCATGTATTTTGAGAATCGCAAAAAATCCGACACGTACATGTGGCTGGCCAACATGGAAACCGGACCGACTCTGAAGTTCCTCGTTCAGAACGTACACACTATGGAGGAACTAAAGTTCACGGGGAATTGTCTCCGAGGATCGCGGCCCTTCCTCTCGTTCGATCCGGGCTTCGACGAGCATCCTTGGTCCCGAGTCGTCAAAGAGGTCCTCGCACAAACGTTCGGAACTCCGGCCTATCATCCGAAAAGTCAACCATTTTTCGACCACGTCTTCACGTTCCGGATTCTCGATAAGCGCATATGGTTCCGGAACTACCAGGTCGTCGAAGAAGATGGTTCTCTCGTCGAGATCGGACCTCGCTTCTGTCTCAATCTTGTGAAAATCTTCGATGGACCATTTTCCGGGGCGATCATCTACACAAATCCGAATTACGTGGCGCCTAACAAAGCTCGCCGTTTGGCGAAGCAGGACAACACCTACGTAAACAGAATTGAACAAAAGGTGAGGTTTTAATTTCGTCGTTGCGTGTGAGCTTGGCAGGGGCTCTCAGTTCGTACCGAGTTTATTCTATGGCCCACCCGCTTCAGCTTTGCTTCTTTCTAAAAACTCCGAATTCTCTCTTTACAGGCGAAACGGAGCCGTATTGAGAGCCTGCCAGCGGGGAACCCGGAAGAACTAGATTTTAACTAGATGTGTTAATAAAGTGTTCCGGATCATCAGGGATGTTTGACATCGAAAATTTTTGTGATCATTGCGCTTCCGGAATCCTAGGGATGACCAAATCATCAAGCGAGCCCAAATGCGCCCGGAGGTCTCCCCTGAGGTTTCCTGTTTTCATGTCCGGAGAGGGGGCGGATGATTCCCGCGTGAATTCGAGTCGCAATGTTCAGAGGGACCCGCGCCCTACAAAACCAAGCGTTTGCTGCGCGAACATCGGGCTGGAGAGCGGACATCGAAGGCGGGCACTCCACCCCATTTTCTGAATCGTTCTATGCAATTCAGTCAACTCTCCAATTCACAGCAATTTTCGCGGAAAGTGGCACCCGGGCGATTCTCCATATCCGTGAACAATCGTTGAGAGACGGTTCGCTCAGATGAGACTTTCTGCTCCAGCCCTTGCCTCATGCTCGTTCCGTCGACAACTGGGCGCCACGCACGAACAAAGAGCGTGGGAATCCAACACTGACTTGGAAGTGGGACTATTTCTTCGGGGATTGTGATAGGCGGACATTTCCATGGAGAAACTGCGTCAAGTGGATTAAAACGACAAGGAAGGGCGTGTCCTCTAACATCGCAGCTCTAGTGGTGATGTATGCGTCCCGTATATCGGAAAGGTGGCTACAAGTTGGTCACAGCGCGGTCTTCTCGTCGCAACTATGACCGTCGGCTGCTGCCGGATAATTTCGCTCCCGGTCGTCACTCGGACGGTTTCCCCTCCTTCGATCCTGGGATCCCTTCACCTGAAGCCGGTAACTTGAAAGAGAAATAGTGGTATCGGGTCTGCCGCAGCTGCAATTTCGGCCAGCTCGCTTGGTGCATCGCGCATTTGTGCTCCTCGTGCATTCGGGAACGGACAGGTGCTTGGCTTGATATGGTTCCGACGAGTGTTCCTCTGCCTCTCTCGAGTGGATTGAGCGCGAAAACAACATGCAGAGGAGACTCCTGTCGGAACTTTCGATCAATATCAAGATTTCCTGACCGAGCCATTCGCTGCGTCGTGCTGTGCTTGTTGTACTCCCTGAATACGACGCTGGATCGAGAAACCCAGAGCGCCAGCCTGGACCGCTTCCAAGGGAAATATTGTGTCATCTCGTGTGATCTCCTAAGAATTCCGAAAAGCATCACCGTGTTGTAAGCATGGCGTGATGGATCTCTCATTCGATATCTGAAAATACGACTCCGAATACTCACGGATGCCATCACCTTTTGAGGGAATCCTATGCTTTCATCTCGATTATGGGTCCGGGGTCAGACGGAGAATGCTTTCTTATGAGTTCGTGGAGCATCCATCTTACCGCATCAACGGTATATACAGGGTCGCTGGAAGGAAACAAACAGAAACGCTCCGTTCCCAGTGACCAAGTGTAACTTTTCACGAGTATCCGATCACGATCGCTATGAGGGAATGAGGGCGAGGAGGCGTCGGACGTTGATTGGCTTGATAACTTCGGAAGGATATGGAACGCGCGGAGCATCCCGGCCCGAGTGATCTAGCTGGGGTCGAACGAACAAATAGACGACTAGAGGGACCGACAGAGCTCCTGATCACATCCACGCACGCGTCGACCCCGCTCGATCGGGCGATTAATTTGCTCTTCATCCACCTGCTCACACTAAATGCTCCGTGAGAGACCGAAGCCGTCTGCGGTTGGAGCGACACACTCTCCGTCAAGGTCATCTCTGAGCAATCCGTTCCCGTGCCAATGGTCCCGAGTCCTCCGGCCGGCAGCCGAGCTGCTCCGCTCGATTGGTCTCCACGCCACCTGCATTCAGTGAACCTATTCTCCGGAGAATTTCCCATTGTATGAGGAGCGCAGCATCGAGTGAACAACGCGCCTTCGGATTCCTCGAAGATAACACTTAAGCGCTCCCTTCCCCGACTGACTGTCGATCACATAACTGCGACGTACAGGAAAGACAATGTGGAGATTCATCTCATTTCGGGCTCATCGTTAGTCCTCGATTTATTCGACTGATTGTATAATTGTGTCGATGCAAATCGAAAGATGATTACCTGACTCGTGATCATCATCATGGTAATGATAATTATTATGACCCTACAATCACGATGAAAACAGCGCAGGTCTTCGCGACGTCGAAGTTGCTGAGGTTTGCATGCACAATTGCGTCATACTTGCTCCCACAGCGCAACACTCGGATCCAACCGCGGAGCTGCCTTCCGAAAAGGGGATGAATTGATTGTACAAACTTGAATCGAGTCAACTGCGGCGAATCTTTCCATAACTATCGAGTATCTACGGTCCGGCCAATCATGTACGTGAGATGGTCTGCTCGATTGACATCGATCCCGTGGAGGCTTCTGAATTCGCCTCCGCGACCAGCAGAAGACACGAGGAATGATATCTCTTCTCAGTCAGCAAAAACACAAAACGAACATTTCACAACACGTGGACAGTACTATTCTGACGCCGATCACACAATGCTCCCATTCTCCAGCCGCTCGCTCTCTCAAGATTCGGATCCAATCGAATAAAGCGATTCCCGTAGAACGCTCCTAGTATGACTCTTGATTTCGTGGATTGACCAGGCCCTCGGCCTCGCGAATCAGGAAAGTGCAAAACTCGGTCTGGATTTTTTTGGCGGTCCCGCGCGAGCAAGCTCAGGGAGATTTCTGATAGATCGAAATGAAAAATTCTCCTGACAAGACAATAGAAACTCTCCGAATCTCTCCAAGCTCATACAGATAACAGCGACCAGAATCGAGTAACGGTCGAGCATTGAAATTAAGCGCGAAAAATACTTCAGCTCTCAACGATTCATCGTCCATCAATCTGTGTACAAGAGGTAAGATCCATAGTAGTTAAGAATCCGTGAGGAAAATTGCGTGATGCCTACACCTCATCGAATTGTCATTTCGATATCTAGAGTCTCAGATATGTGGCGCGGAATATCCGGTATTCCAGTCGCCCCAGCATCGGGTTTTTGTAGTTCAAGTGCTCCGTTGAAAAGAAGAACGGTTATTGAGATAACAATATCATCACCATTATAGAGGAGGCGATGCAAGATGATTGACGAACAAAGTTAGAATTGGCTCTAATTATTTGAGAAGGGCTTCAATTTCTAAGTATCATAGCCAGTCATTCGAGAGACAGCGCGGCAGTTCGTTGTCCGGTCCTCTCTAAATCCATCCAAATCAGTATCACTCGATCGATTCATTATTGTTCATACAAATGGGACATGCAGACGTATTTTCGGGTAATTCATTATTCGCATCAACAATTCGTCTTAAAAGAGTATAACAATACAGTCGTCGGAATGTAACATCCTTACTGGGCCGGAAGAAGGAGCACTAATCTCTACGCTGGCTATGTGCCTAAAAGCTACGTGATCATTCGTAGGGGATCACCCTGTAGACTGTGTGTATGGGGGTCCGAACCGGGTGCGAATCCTTGCTGATTCCGAGAAAGTGTAGTCACGACACAAGAGGACGACAGTCGTCGGTGCTGGAAGTGCAAGTCATCCGAGACGCAGTGATTGTGCAAAGATGGGCCAGGGCTCCCGGTACGACTCCCTCAGACATTGATTCGGAGACTAGGAGAGCGAGAGGACGCAACCGAGAGGGTTCGACTGCTGCTGCTTCAGGATATCGGTTCCCGACGTTCAGAGTTTGATCCTATTGAACTGCTGATCGGTCGTCGGTGTCGTCGGTTCCGACACTTCGGTTTGCACCGAGAGCTTCTGCCGCACGGGAGCGTGTTGTGCGTTCGCCTCAGCACCGCTTGCTTCCGATGCAGACTTCTCGTGGCATGGCGGACGATCGGGAAGATCAAGGTGGTTCTTTAAAGCAAAGCTCTCCCAGAAAGCGTCATCCGATTCATGCGTGAGATAGCGAACTCCCACTTGGCTTTCGAGGTGGATCAAATCCGTCCACATCTGATAGTTTTGCAGCCACGTATGCGCGAGAGATTTGTCGACCGTGAAGCGTTTTCTTGTCTTAACCTGAGCGAGAGGAGGATCAGGATATTAGTTCTTCGGTTCGAATGCCGAGTATATAGGGGATCGGATGTATTTCGGATTCATCAATCAGGACGAGCTCAATTCGAGGAGAGGAGGAGGTTCCATCAGCTCAACTTCAGCTATTCCTCACCTGTAAGAGGTTACTGATAAGATCAACTGCATCGACCGAAATCTCTTTCCAAGGCTGCGGTGGATACATGAAGTCGGCGTTCTGGATTTGATCGTTGATATCCTCGTCCTGAAAATCAGACGGAAAATCGTTGAGGGAATCCTAAGCTATCAGCAAGCTCAATGCAATCGATTGGGCTGTTCTCCCATATAGCAGCACTGATATGCCGATGCTCAATCGCTTGTGCAAGCGTGTCTTAGGCTTCCGCGCAAGCAATTCCATTATGTAACGGAGACTTCCGTACCGCAAGTTATCCGCCCTCAGTGGACTCACCTCGTTGAAGGGGAAAGTTCCAGATAGACTGACATAGATAATGACGCCCACCGACCACATGTCGAGGGACCTATTATAGCCTTTATCACGAAGCACCTGCAAGGATTGATTCGTATTTCACTCGCCCGCTCGGACACTGAGAGGGACATTTTTGCGACGCTGGACGCCCTGAGCGAATCAGGCGCCTGATCATTTTCTACAGTGAACGACTTCATTCCAGTCCTCTGAATTACGGTGCCTTCCGAATCCGGATGAAGGTGAATATTCGGCGCCGAGTGGTTTCATTCGAATCACGGAGTATCATTGCTATATCATGTGGACCCGGAGGCTTACCTCTGGAGCGAGATAAGCAGGTGTGCCAACTACTGATCGACGAAAACTCGTTTCACCAATTATTCTGGCGAATCCGAAATCACAGAGTTTCACCTGGAGAGGGAATTCGGAGAATGAAGTTCAGGACTGAATAAGATCCAGCAATGGAGTTCGAAATGTCGGCATTCGGACTTTCGAGCAAAGCTCCGGCTAGCTGCGTGTCCACGCTCGGATTCCAATTTCGAGAGTTTTGAAGGGACCGGAGAATCTCAAGGCTGAAAAGGTTACCTGGGGCAAGTCGTTGTCACTGCTAAGGAGCACATTCTCCGGCTTAAGATCGCAGTGAACAATGTTCTTGGAATGAAGAAATTTCAGCGCCATCAGGATTTGATATATCAGGAAACGGGTTGTGCGTTCCGTAAGCCGTCCCTAAAAACGCGTCGGGAGAAGAGCTCGTGAGGGTGAATCATGGCCTAGAGATCCTCGCGAGGAACGAACAATAGAGGGAAAAAACTGAATCGCGGATTAGATGGCGTGCTCGCGCAGCTTAGCGATGGATCCGGAACGAGATCGGAAGCGATCGCAGAGCGTTGACGGCGGGAGCAACGCGGTCTTTCGACCGGACTGACCTTGGAACATTGCAGAATCATCTCTAACATGTCGCCTTTGAGTTTCTCCATCACGACGAAAATTCGTTCCGGAGTTTCGTACATCCGCTCGAGTCTGCAGAAATCCGATGGGATTAGAATCCCCGTGCGGAACTCTCCCCGTGCATCTCCATGGCTCATGCATTCTCGGCGAACGGTCAGGAGGTAAAGAAGGAAGCACGGAGACCTTCGCTTATCTCGTTCGAGTAATCTCACGACGGAACTTACGTTACGACTCCAGGATGTTGAATATTTTGAAGTATTGACACTTCGTTCTTGAGTTGAGCTTCCTGTTTCGTTGGAAACCGAAGTTTGTCGATCACCTGAGGATATTGAACGTTCAGTGACGTCTTCTATATATTACGAGCACTCCCTCTTCCTCCTCTTATCTCTGTCTGGAGCACTGAGCGTCGGGCTTGACAGCCCGCCGCCGCTCAAAGACATTCTCGAAGTTACCGAGACCCTGTCTTTCGATCGGAAGAAAGTCGATGACGGAGGGAGCGAGCGAAAAATGTTCATGGCGACGTTCTGCTCACCTTAATTGCAACGGGCTTCTGTGTTACTCGGTGAACCCCACCGTAGACGATTCCGAACTGGCCCGAGCCGAGCACCTCATCGGGGAAGATTTGATAGCGGAGACTGATGTCGACGTTTGAACCCTGACTGCCGTCGGCGGGAGAATCCGCCGTTTCGGAAGGTTTGGCTTGAGTCGCGGTTACTGGTAACAAGGCCTGTCGGATGGCGGTTTCCCAACTTTTGTCGCGTTCATCGCCCACGAAAAAAGTGCAGGTGGGAGTTTTCAACTCGAAGCAGAATTGTTGCGGGTTCGATTCGTTGCGGAGTGCCAATACGACGACGTTCGTCAGAAGAATTTCTTTGTAGTAGTTGCTCGAGTGTTCGCTCTGCGGGCGGAAGAACAAGAAGATGGAACATACATTGGATAAGGACGAATAAGAACAAAGGAAGGGAAAATCAGAGACGAGCGGGAGCTCCGACGCCCGACGTTCTCTAACCTGATAGAATGTGAGTGCATTGGTGTCGAGACGACAGTAGTGACGCTTCCGTAGCGCGTCCTTGTCGGTGAAGTGAACGAGCCAGCCCTCCTTTATAATGGCTCCACTGCCGCGTTTTTTCGTGTGCTTCACCGACTGCACGATTCGCATGAGAGGAATGTTGTTCGATGAACTTTCATTCAGAGCTTGCTTCTCATCTTGTGATTCCTGCGATTCTTGAGAACCTTGTTTCGAATTCTCGGCGGTTGACAGCGATTCTGAACCACGCGCTTGCGTCGAACTCTGGAAGAGCAGATGAACACTGAACATCATATCGCGACATCAATATCGCATCGCTTCCGCGGTCAATCGCGTACAGAAGCCACGTCGGGGATTGTGCGTGACCACGGCCGCCTACCTGGGGAACCGTGGCATCCGACGTTTTTCCATCTTGACCGTCGTCCAAGTCGTTATCGCTATCGGCGTCGCCGGTCTTGTTTGCCGGCAAGTCAAGTTCCACCGTGAATTCAGGATTCCAGCCTTTCGGAGCTTCCCCAGGACAGTCCATCGGAACTTTTTCCTCGCATTTCCGGTGCGCGTTGAATCTGAATTTATTTGGCCACAGTCAGATGCTGAATTCTCGATCCTCGAGTCCAATCCTCTAGAATTGACTTTTCTTCGCGGGATCATTCCCCATGGTCAGTGGAATACCGACGCCTATTTCCCGAGCTCCCGTCCAAGTTCCCTGGACGTGATAATTTCGTTCGCCCAATGCCGCGGAATCCGTTCTTACCTGCAGTCTTTGCATTGAACACCCTGACGGAAGAAGCCTTTGAGTAACTTCTTGCAGTGCATGCACATTGTGAGCTTTGTATACGAGTGGACAACGAAGGTGTGCGGGATTCGAATCCTGCCTGCCAATTCGCGTTCTACCCACACTGGTCGACCCATATTCAATGACGGTGAGCGTTTATCGCGGTTCGGTGGCGTCGAGAGCAACACGCTGTGGTCATCGATGAATGCTGGGATGGATGACGCCGCGCGCGAGATCTCGTTGCCCAGCTTGTCTTTGAATTCGGAACTGGGTGACGGCTTCGTGGGCGTCGCCGGCAGGTAGGTAGATGACCGTCTTCTCCGAGTGTGCGTGCAATTGTTGGGGATCTTGTAGGCGCAGCGTTTGTGGAAGTTCTGTCCGCAACCGTCGCATTTCAAACCTTGCCGAGCAAGTCCGAAGAGCATTTCGCCTGTCAAAAGTTAGAACATTGCTACGAACTTCCTAATCCGTATGTATTCCAACGAGAGATGGAGTGCCTCTCGGTCCTGCTGAAGGTTTCCGCTCGATTGAAGTAGATATATTTCCCGAAGATTCTGAACTCACCACAAAAGTCACAAAATGTCGGAGACTTGTAGGAATGGATTTTTAGGCAATGAGGTCGGATTTCTATTTCGTCGGATAGCTCTTTTGACGAAACGATTATTTCTACCAGACAACCCTCGGTTATCTCGGAGACGCTGGAAAATTCGAGAGGGGGCAACGGTTATCTCCCACCATGTCGCGTCTTAGTTTCCGCATGTACGCCACAAATTCTACTGCAGAACTCTTTTTCCCTACGTACGTGTTGATTGGGATGAGTAAGTTATCTTGATTGTAGTCATGTCGAAACAGTAAAAGTCTCTCTGGCAGTCGGGTCAGACCGTGTTCGGGACACTTCCGGTCGAGGAAGTTGCACGCCAGATCTTTGAGCGATTTGAGGTTAAGCTCGGCGGTTTCGATGGAAACACTGTCTCGCACGATGCCGCTTTGCATAAGGAAATTTATCTGGAAGAAGACGACATGAAGGGAATCGCTGTCGAATACCCAACAGGAATGGAGAGGAGCGATGAGCGGAGACGTTAGCCTCGCCAGAGTGAAGAGTTCCTACGGTTCTTCTTTTCTCCGCCTCAGATTCTCGATTCTAACTCAATGCTCGGTCGCGGGTCTCGTGAAACCTCTGGATACTCACCTCGGGCGCCGGTATATTGAGTTTGGGGAGCTCCATGGTCAAGCTGGGTGAAGTCACAGCGCGAGTCAAAAGTTTGAAGCGATGATCTGCAAGTATTGAAAGCCTGCTTTGTGAAATAAGCCTATGCTGTCGGGATCGAGGCTTATTGGTTTAGTTTGCTCCTTCTGCTGCTGAGGGCATTAGCATACGAGAAGTACAATCGCCATAACTTCGTTCGTTGCCGGCGTGATCCCTTTCATCTAGCCCCGCGCATCGAATGCAATTTTTTCAATCCAAAATCTATGTATCTATGCGGCCAACGTCTGAAGAGCCGCTCAATCAACGAATTCCCACTAAGTAAGCGAGCCGCGACACCAATGTAAATGAGCCGGCCGCCGATGAAGCGAGCTAATGCCCATTATCCAGCGACCCTTTTTCGTCAGTGAGTTTGCAGAGCCGTTATTACCCTATATTCTACCAGATAGACCGTAATGGATGCACCGGTCATCCGAGAACACGTGGAACGTTGCCGTCGTCCGCGAACGTGAATCGCCGAATTCATCAGGTCCCAGACCCCGGGAGTTTCCAACAGGCCTTTCTTGCCGAGGGCCTATGATTAGCCATGACGTTCCATCGTTCATTCCCTCGAGGAGTCGGAATGGTTCCCAGAAATCCGAGCTTTCTGCGCGAATCTCCCCTGCGTGTCCTTATCATCCCTATAGCTCAGGATTGAAATACGCATTTTCGAATTAGCCGTCAGCGACATTCGATTCGGGACTCCTGGATCAGATTTGTCCCGAGGAATAAATATACGACGAGGAAGATTCAGAAAAGCAGCTTCACAAAGCCGTACGCTCTCGTGAGTTCCAAAATGTAATTCGTATCTTCGTTGTCATGCGACAAGAAAAGCAAGAGGAAGAACTATTGTTCGATGCGCTCTCTGAGGCTCGGAGGCTTCCGAATTCAGCAATCAAACCCGTTATGAACGGAATTGACACCATCCCTGACGTCGGAATCAATCTCGGTAATTTCCATGGCTCCTCAGAGGGAATTCACACTCCTTCATCTCGGTTGGGAATGTCGGCTCTCGAACCACAATTCAATGCGAGCTGCGGAACGTCTCGTCCAATCTCCGAACGCGACGGCTGAAAAACCGCCGCGCCGTCGCTGGCTCGTGTTTTCTGTTCCCCAGAATTCGTCCCCAGAGCCATACTCGATTACGCTCTTAAGGCGAGCTCGGACCGGTTGCCACCGGCATTACCGATACGTCGCGCGTTTCTCGTTGGACGATCCAATGACCAAGGGAAAGCAATGATTGTTTTGGCTTCCCTCTCCGGATTTCCCGCGACTCTCAAAGCCGAAGCTCCCGAGTCCCTTCTTCCAGCACGCGAGAGGACATGGCATTCTCAGGACGACGCTTGCGAAATGATCTATGCCCGAGCAGCTGCCAGCCGAAACATCTCGACGTCACAACGAGAAAGCCATTTGCATACATTGTGAGTGGCCGCGAAAACCCACATTCACCTGGATACGAGCGTTGCAATTAAGACATTATTTTTGCGGAATATATTCTCTACCTTCTCGTTTGTGCCGTCGTCGCAACATCGCTCTCCGCAGCTCGAGCACGTTTAAAGGCACAGACAGGAACCTCATGAATCCAGACGCGCATCTCTCGCGTGCCGCAGCAGCGAGACCGGTGAGTGTAGTGTGAAAGGTTCAGTGCTGTTGCGGCTGCTCGAGTGGACGGTGGCACCAGCGGCGGCGGAGGCAGCGGCGACTGTCCTGGCAGCGGCAGTGGCAAAACCGTAGTTTGGGCGTGTGTTCTATACTATAAGCTGAGCGGGTGACTCGTTCGAGAAAATTGCATTTCTCACAGCAGAGCGAGCACCTGCCCGAGGTGGACACTGGAGTTTCCAACAGGAGCACTTGCACGCAGACACCTCGTTAAACTCTCGGTTCACGCAGCTGGAGGACGTACAACCGCAGCTGGCACAGGGGGCGGGAAACCGCCGAGCTCCAGACAGAGACGACAACTCCGTCAGAAGAACAACAAGGAGCCCGGATGGTGCGCTCACTGTCCTCGGGTGAGCCCACAAACTCCGACCGACACTGGTGCCAACAGGTGGATGGCGAGTTTGCACGCTTCGCCGTCGAACGACGACTTTCGCCGTTAGAGACACCGTCCGCCCCCACGAAGCGGTCCGAAAAACTGTTAAACGGGAAAAGGCGCTCGTGCGTCGAAGCGGTTCTTGCTGGCGACCGAGAAATATATTGCCAAGGTCTCTTTGGACCACTGATTTCATTGACGTCGAACAAACACTAAGCTTCGTCGGACAGTAGCTACGGTGTTGGTAACGGCGGCGGCGGCGGCGGCGGGGACCGACGGCGAGAACCGCACGTTATTCTACAAAAAACTGCGTGTCGGCGAACCGATCGGTCTGATCTGATCCGTCGCAGTTGCCATTATCAGTTCGGCGTTTCCCTCGCAATGCTCGCCAGTTGGCCTAGCATCTCGGTTTGTCCAGGCCCACCGCACTTGATCACACTCTCACTCGAGTAGGATGGCTACGTGAGCTAAAGACCACCACTCGGACTGCAGCAATGACGAGGAACGAGAGTGTTTCAGTGAACCTCTCGGGAGGGATTAGTTGGTTCCTTTCTTGGTTGAGTTTGTTCTGTGTGAGTATCCTGTGTTCTGTGTTTGGTGAGGAACTCTTTCCAAGGAGAGGGATCTATCGTCGTCGACGCTGCCGTTGATTCCGTCGCAGCCGCTGCCGCCATCCTCTTAGCGAATAGTTCTTTCAATGTCCGTGCCAAGTTCGCCAAGAGCCCGGGTTTCCTATTTTTCTGATGCCAAATTCTTCACGTGTTGCAGCCGACCAACTGAGAGTATTGCGCACGAACGAGCACAGAGCGCTCGCCGTTTTCCGGAGAGGACCTTCGCGGCTGGTTGCGATTCGGAGGTTGGGCAGATCCGCGGCCGAGACGGTCCGTGGATCGTCGACGAGAACCCAGACCTTCGTGACCGATTTCGCGAGCTTGGAGCCCGGGCTCAATTATTGTGCCGAGTGAAGCGCGATTCCCGTATTGGGAAAGTCGATATTCAACTCGATGAGTGAATTAGGATGCGAGACCTTTGTTGCGTGGTGACGAGCTCTGAGAGATGACCCCCGTGATTAACGTCACCAAACGGTGGCTCGTGGACAACACGAATCACCTTCGCGGTATCAGGTACTCTCGGAGGGGCTTGCGCGCGCATACGACGATCACGGAGGATATCGGAAAGTCGGCGTAATCACTTGGACTACATTCATTCGAGAATGGTGAAATAGGACGGATATAAGATAATCTACGACGGGTCCGAAGAAACGGGTCCGATCTGAACAGGAGCCCACGGGTAATGAATCGTGAGCGGGGGGATATTCCCTGTGTACTAGGAGATCGCTCCAATATCGTATCGTTGAGAAAGAGCGGGGCATAGGCTCCTTGAGGAGTTGTGTGCAGCTTCGAGTACACACTTGTTCTAGTAGCAGCATTGGGAGTTCAGAGCTTCAGAGGCAGTAATCGGATCAGACCCCAGTTGACCCCATCGCCAGATACAATAAGTGTTCACCCATATTCTTTCGAAACCTCAGTGTTTCGCTCTCCCCAATGAAGCGACCCTCGAGAGGTCACACGATGAAGATGATCCGATGAGAGGAATGGAATTCGGCGTGAACCTATGAGAAAAAATCTGAGTATCATGGCAAAGATACCGCGTCAGTTCGGGCTCGTTGAGTAATCGTTGTCGGTCTCCTGACCGTGAACATGATCGAGCTTCGGTTTTCATGATTCTCCGGCAACAATCGTCAAGGATGGTCGGACGACGAACGAACATCCGATGAGGTTGATATTAAAAATGCAAAATGATGGCACCGACAACTCGTCCACGAATCTTCGCAGCGATAGCATTGGAGGCCCGCGGACCTTAAACTTTTCTGGTCAAGTTCTCGCTTCTCCGCATCTGCTCAAACTGATTGGTCATAGTCGGCGTCTCTGCGAGGACTTTCTCCTCTGCGAACTCCCCGACGCTCAGTGGTGCTCATGAGGCACATAAATAATATATATACAGACATTTGGAGACGTCTTTCGCTCTGGGCCAGCTAGCGGCAGAGCCAGACGGCCGGCTCGCTGACCGTCGTCATAAAACGAAGCGGGCAATCTAAACGAATTGCTATATCTCCCGCTCACGTAGTCTCGCCCGGTCCGCTGATCCCTCCGCAAGGTGGTCGCAGTGGTCGTCTCAAGATACCAAGAATTGCATAGTTCGGCAGCTTCTCAGATGTCGACAGCGACCGCAAGCTCGCGGTCCACCCCCGCACAAAAAAAAATGTTTCAACCTATTCCAAGTCCTCGTTGGCTTGGTAGGCACACAGACATGATATCAAGCAACCTCTGACGCATTTGATGAGTAAGGCGGATGAACGAGGGTCGAAAGGGTCTTCTCAACTCCCAACCATATTGCGGATCGACCCGAATCAGACCTCAAACTCGATCGTGTCCTTGTCGTCGATGCTGCTCGCCGGACGTATTCACGGACCAAGGCAGACCGGTAACTTCCTTCTGTTGCTCGAAATTACCTACCATAAATGATCTACACCGAGGAGAGGGGGCGATTCCAGATACCAGGACTCGTCGCCAAGAGCCCTGCCTGGAATTTTCGTCCTCAGTGAGTCGGAATAGCGGAAGAATTTTCCCGCGAGCCGCCGCCATTCAGGCAATCGAAAGTTGAGACATGCCAGCGGAATTCATGATTATGTGAGGAGCTATGCTGCTCAGTCGCTGGCAACGTCAATTGGGTCGAAACACCTATCAGCCTCCGCAATTTCTCCGTACGAGCATCATCGATCGACTCCGTGCAAGATCCGCCAGCGAACGCGAAAAGGAAATTCTGATGCAGTACAATTCCTCTTCCTGCCTCCCGAGACCTACCGCGGCTCGATCGAGCCAGGTCATCCATTGGAATTCATTCCTCGCAAGATTCCATCGAATGATTATTTCATTCGTGTTGAGAGCAA